TTTCCAATATGATATATATGTCACATTTGGTAAATGTATAGACATTCCAATTTTTACTCGACTTATCAATGACTGACTGAGATTTGAAGGTCCTAAGTTTCGATTCTATATATGTCGTGTAAAACGCGCTATAATTAATTTCAAAATTACGAAGGAAAAAAAAATACTCCCCCTGTCAACTGCTTTTTCCAGAGCTTAATAATTTATGAGTAGGTTTCATTTTATTCATCACAAAAAGAACATTCACTGAACAAATTGATTTTTTCAAAAGTTTAATCATAAACTATTCATCTTATAGAGAAACAAGTCAAAATCAATACCACTATTATGGGATTCCTCAGTAGTGCGCATCCACGATTCCGCCTGACGAGATTCGAACCCAGGACCTACCAGTCCCACGCGTGAGCACTTAACCACTAGACCACTGAACTTGCCGGCATCCAACAGTGTTAATGTCTAACTTCAACCAATTCTTATATTGATAATATAAACAAGTTGATATTGGGGATTGAATAATCATAGAATGTTGTATTTACCGGAAGATCTGAGAACTCTATAATCAATCCTATGATAGATCCTAATTACTAATTGTTGAAATTTTTTAAAGCATTTGTCATGTACTATTCACTTATCACATGAGCTCCAGTATTCTGACGGAACAAATGGCGTATGAATCAATTGTTGGTCACTGAGATTACATCTCCTTACGTGGAACAGACTTTTAGGTCGAAGGCTCGGGGCATGGCCTCCTAAGAATACCATCTGCTTCGGTTTAGGCCCTTGAGCAGTATCATAGCCCTCGCACAATTAAATAAATGACAATTTTTTTTGCGACACATATGTATCTGGTACCCCTTTGTACCAATGTTTATATATTTAAATGAATGAAATGGTACCCCACTTATCATGTGCTTTGAAATGAACATCAATTACTTTCAAGTTATATATATAATGAATTGTAATTTGTATTCATGATGTAATGAGAGATTGATTGATGAATAAGTCCCATAATTTAAGAAAATATCTACTTTTTTAAGAATATCACGTACATAATGATTTGACAGATATGGTTCAGTAAAGTTATAACATGTTGAATAAATAGTAATATCAAATACGTATTAAGACTTGAATCTTCTCAATGATGTTTAGGACTGAAATGGATCAGTCTCTTATTGGTATATGTGCATCCTGTACAGATTGCCTTAATGTTGCCTTAATTTACAAGCATTATAGGCAAAGATAGATAGTGGCTGGCAGTGAAATCTAGTTTGACGCACGTTTCATCCTGTTTGGGACTCGTCCGTAAGGTGTGCCTGTAATCTTGAAGGAACTGGTGCTCTCTGACGGATTAGATCCCGTGTCATCCAGCTTCATAGTCAGAGACGTTACCACTGAACTATCGATGCTGCGACAGACCTCCTGTAGGACTGAGATGTAATCACAATTTATTGATCACTGGGTGATGATCAATGTCATGCTTGTCAAGTCCGTCTTAGTTCTGGTCGAATGTTATCGATAATAAAATCTTTCTATTTAAAAGAGATTCACTTCAGATAACAATGAGTTAAACTGACATTCATTATTTGTTGCCATTTATCCTTTAAACATCTCCTAATTTATAAGCAAAGATGGATAATGGCTAGCAATGGAATCCAGGACTTTTTATAAAACTGAATGATTAACCAAATGAATTCTATTATAACAAATAATATCAAACGGTGAATAACTACTTTCTTCTTACTTTTTATCACGGTTTGAAATTGTCTCTTATCAAGGTACATATTTGAATTTTCTACCCTACCCCCCCACACATCACCCCCTTCATAAACAGATCTTAAAAAGAAAAAGATATTTGATAGATAAATGTTATATTGAACATGGAAACTATTGTAACTAGGTTAAGTAACACGTGAATAGCAATATTATAAGAGGGGGAGAAAGAAAGAGAAAAAACGAAGCCAATTTATTAAATTCATGTATATCAGATTATTACTGAATAGTTTTATAGTCAAGATAAGTAGTATTTTTCATTATTTGTTTAAAGATAATCTGATTATTGATTCTTATTACATGAGAGATATGATATATACAATACTTAACTGGAGAATGTCCATGTATTGATAAGAGAAATTTGTATTATACTATTGCCACGGGTGCGGGATCGTAGATGGGCACTGCTGAGGACAAAACGGCCGTACAGTGCTTCCAAGTTTTTCATGGTGGTCTTATTTATTTATTTAGTTAGTTATTTAAACACATATATTGGTACAAAAGGGCACCAGGTACATATGCGCCACACAAAATAATGAAAGTAGGAAGAGAAGGGATGAAAAGATAAGGCGGACTGAAATGTACAACCAGAAGACTCTTTCAGTTAGGAAAGTTAGAACCATTCTTTATGTAGAAAGTAAAAGAAGGTTGCAGCAGGATCGCCACTGGCTTCTATTCTGAGCCATATCTGATAACGTCTTTAGCCACTGTGTTGCACCATCTCTCGGACCCCAGCCAGGGAGTCGTGAAGGACCAACAGAAGCTAGCCCTTTGCAGCTTTCTTTCATGCCACGACACCATGTCATACACTGACCTCCTCTCCGCTTTTTCCAATCAGTCCCAGAGTCGGCAAATAATGCACGGCATGGAAGTCTCTGGGACGACATTCGTAAAACATGTCCAAGCCACCGAAGTCGGTGTTTCAAGATGGTGACACCAATTGAATTATCATCTCTGCGCCCGGACACACGATGCCGAACCTCTGCATTACTAACATGGTGTTGCCACTGGATGTCAGCAATCCTTCGGAGACAACGATGATCGAACACAGAGTGACGTCTAACATCCTCAACTCGTAGAGGCCAGGTTTCACAAGCATAGAGCAAAACTGCTCTCACCGACGCGTTGTAGATCCGACCTTTTACAGCCAGACTAACATCACGAAGGCGCCAAAGATGGCCCAGATTGGTGGTCTAGCTTTAATTGACTCATGATTTCAACTATGAAAATACTGAAATATCCACAAAAACCACTTCTGATATTATACTATTAAGCCAATCATAATATGTTATTATTTGCCTAGTTCTTAGTATTCATTTAATCTTGTCGATCAATTTACACTATGATAATGGTGTAATTTGATTACCATTAGTTGATAGAATACACTAGATAAGAAGAAGTATTTTAGTAAGAGGTATACAAGGAAATATGACTTGGAATAGGTTAAAGTACTATAAATGAACTTACATTTTGTATTACATGGTCACTCGTATACAGCCACTGTTAGGGAAGTTCTACTCACTACCTTATTGAATCAGGGGTGTTGTTAATGAAATTGAGAAGTCGAAAAGTCAATGTCCGGTTGGTGCTTGAACCGGGTTGATGGATATAGAGGATCCATCTAGGGGAGTTGTAAAACCTTGATTACAAGCCAATGGTGCAAATGCCCTCCAGTATCCTGAGGGAACGAATAGCGTATGAACCAATTGTTGTTCACCAGTTACCATGAGACTGTACCTTCTGACGTTGCTCAACTGCCTTGTAGATTAGACCCTTAGGTCGAAGGCTCCGAGTGTGGCCATCTAAGAAAACCATCTGCTTCGGTCTGAGGACCCTGGCAGTATCACAACCTACACCCAAATCAATTTAATCTCGTTGTACTAAATATTTTATGGCAATTTGAGGCAGTGAACATTTATGTTAATCACAATGTTGATTATAATTGACTATATGGAACTTATTCATTGAATAGGATTTGAACTTATATTTGCAAGTATCATAGTCAGAGAGATCACCATTAAAATATTCAACACTATGTTATGTACATTAAATATTTGTGAACATAACTGAAATACCAAGATGGCGAAGAAAGTTTATAGCTCAGGTGGATGATTTTGGTGAAGTTTTGACTGACAGTAGCCCCACGAGTGGCTACAGGCGGAGTCTTGGTTGTCAAATGTACATCCTGTGCGAATTTGCTCGATAACATAACTATTATGATATAAGTTAATATAGAATAGATGAAATATTGGCTATTTGTGAAATACGGGATTCGAGTTTCGTTCATTTTTGGTTCAGGAGTGAACATCAACTCTGATATACAGGTAATATCTAGTTAACGTATCCAGACTAGAACAAAACGTGAATTCTGGATTACACTCCCGGTTGCATTCCAATTATTATATGTCAATTTATTACCAATCAACTCATCAGATTTCATTTGATGTTAATGTTATCTTATCCTTGATAAAACATATTTGATAGTCAGCTCATTAATCACTAATTTCTAGTTGAGTTACTGATGTTGTAGTGAGAAGTTTTGGACAGTGGATTTCAGATATGCTCGGAGTGGAAACGCTATATTTAGTGACATATGACGATCGTTGAGCTAAATCATAAACTGACTGAAGTTGGAAATTTATAGTCTTAAATGATAACTAAGTGTTTCTAATAGGCATTCGCTTAGAGAATAGGAAGTCATGAATTTACACCGATAAAGAGAACTAGTACAACCATAGTCAAGAAGGTACAAGTATTTATAAACAGTTGTCTACGCGAAATACTCAAAATTCACTGGTCGGATACCATCAGCAACAGCCTACTATGGGAGAGAACAAACCGGCTTCCAGCTGAAGAGGAAATTAGGAAAAGACGTTGGAAGTGGGTCGGATATACATTAAAGAAATCAGACTGCATCACAAGGCAAGCCATAACTTGGAATCCGGAAGGGAAGCGGAAAAGAGGAAGACCAAAGAACACATTACATCGGGAAATAGAAGCAGATATGAGAAGGATGAATGAAACAACTGGAACGTATTGCTCAGGACAGAGTTAGATGAAGAGTGCTGATGAGCAACCTATGATCCTCTACGAGGAGTAACAGGCATAAGTAAATATGTTACACTACACTGACTTTTATCAACTTTTATATACATTATTCAATAGTTAGATTTTAAAAGAAACTAATTAAGTTCCATTCTAAATATTTGTATCTATATTTCCTAATATAGATGTCGACAGTGGTGGTAATGTACATGGACCAATGGATCAACGACATACTGCAAGATTAGGAAATATTAGTCGTAGTGGTCAATTCATTCCTGGATCACGCTATTATCTTGGTGATAATTTAACAAGTGAACGTTTTAAACGACGTCAATCCGATAGTGGTGCATGGGATTCTCGTTCAGAAAGTAAGCAATTTTATCTCTTCATTAGATCAAATAGGATATATTGATGAAATATATTTTAGGATTCTAAATTGTAGTGTTACTCATTGTGAAAAAGTAGTCGGCTCAGTGACTCTAGAGGTTAAGCGCTCGCGCACGAGACTGATAGATCCTGGGTTGGAATCTCGCGAGGCGGGATCGTGGATGCGTACACTGCTGAAAAGTCCCATGATAGGATGAAACGGGAGTCCAATGCTTTCAAGTGTTTCATGGTGTTCTAGCTTCAATTGACTCATGATTTCAACTATACAATTACTAAGAATCCCCACAAGACCCCCTTCTGATATCATTTTTTTGTATATGGCTCTGATTCGATGTAGAACAGAGACTTTATTCAACTACAACTCTAGTCTTATTTATATGGTTGTTTCAATGATGACTAGAACTGTCAATCACTGTGATCAATGCAATTATCATGATTGGTGGTTAGAGTCTTCAGGTGATATGTCCGACAATAAGTCAAATTTGAGTAGATTCATTTACTCTTTACTTTCCTTTAAATCATGATTTCTAAAATGGTATTCCTTATGGCTGTGTACTTAACAATGAAGTCACTTGCTTATACCTAACTCTAAGATGCAGGCACATTCAGCCTACGAGTCTCAAAAGGGACGAAACCCATGTCTTGGATTCTACTGCTAGACACCATTCATCTTTACTTTCCACAAGGTTGTTTAAATTTTATCGGTATTTAATGATCATCTATTAAATGAATTCATTATTCTTATCTATTTTCAGCTCATAATCATCATGTTCATAATACATTTCGAAGTCGTACCTATTCTGAAACTAGACGTTTAAATGAATATACTGATAATTCCATAGCAACACGTTATCCTAATCAATTAAATCAACAACCATATTATAAAACAACTGCATCACATAATATATCAAATCATTCACCATCAAATACCCATATATCACGTTGGTCATCAATGCAAACAACTGGTACACAAGGATTATGGAGAGGAACAAATAGTGGACGTTATGCTACTACATTAACAAGACAACATATTAAAAAACATCATGATCCAATTGAAATGGTTGTTAAGCATACAGTAAGTTGAAATGATGTAAAATGATTATTGTTATCATGAAACGAATATAATGAAAACGGAATAGGATTTTATTGATTTATTTAAACACATAAATATTGATACAAGGGGGGCAACAGATATATATTCGCCACACAAATCTCATTTGATTTGTGTGAGGGCTGTGATACTGCTTAGGTGTCCAAACTGAAGCAAGTGGTTTTCTTAGGGAACCACACCCAGAGGCTTTGACCCAAAGATCTGATCCACAATTCAGTGGAACAACGTCAGGAGATTCAGCCCCATGGTAGTCTGTGACCAACAATTTGTTCCTATGCAATTTGTTCCTTCAGGATACTGGAGTCAGCCCATGTGTACCATTGGTTTTGGAATAAGGTTTTCAAACTCCCCTAGGTGGACCATCCGTGTTCACCAAGCCGGTTAAAGCGCCGGACATTCGCTTTTCGTCCTGTCAATTTCGTAAACCATAGTAATGCCATGAGAAGGTAGTGAGTAAGACTTCCCTGGTAGAGGCTATGTACGCATAGCTATGTGAGATCATTTGGAGAAGGAGACCGGACTCTCCCTTACTCTCGGCCGTACCAGGACATTTGGGGGTTAATAGGATTAGAATAGAAGAAATCTAACGGCGGTCAAACTAAAATACAACATTAGTCCATGAATTGATTTACAATTGGACTTAGTCATTTTTATAAGTGTAGGCTACCTGGTTCGAGTTCATGTGATAATGGCACGCGTATATACACTCTTTGTCTTCTCTTAGATTCTTCATAAACTTTCTTATTATTACACTAATTTTTATAGCTTTTCATTGTATTTTAGATGACCAATACTTTATATTACCATTAATTCTGTTACCACTTATACTGCTGTGGAATTTGCTCTATGCTAATGAGATATGGCAACTCAAACTGGTGTAAATACTTGCCGCGTTCTACGTTGTAATTGACTTACTGACATTACAAAATTGGTTATTGTTATAGCAGAATAAATGTTGTAAAGAGTTGGGACTGGTTTTATTGTATATTGTATAATTACTAAGTAACTGGATTAGTATGTCAATGTATTCTACCAATCAGTAGCTTACATTGAATACATAAAGGACGGTGATATGATTTGTTATTCTTAATTTGTTGCCAGTTGATTACTTATAGTCTCCCTTAGTGCTGTCCAATATTTCCGTATCTAAGTCATATCTATTTGAAATATAAATATAATAGAAGGTGAAGTTATTTGGTGGATAGTGATTACATAGTTGGGGTCAGTATGATAACTATGATCATTAGTTAGAGTCTTTGGAGATGTAGAATTTGGCATGAGTCTACTTTAGTTCAATTTGTCACAACTTACATCAGTATAATGAGAAGAAATGAACAAGACTAGTAGCGCTGAATGTAAAATTATATCTAAAATGATCTAAATTTAAACAAAATATAAGGAGTGGAAAAGGCGAAAACTCTACTGAAGTAGGAGAAGTTAGAAATGATTATCAATGGAAGATTCAATAGAAGATAGATAGAAACAAAGGGAATGAATGCAGATGAATCATTAAAATGTATTTTATTCCATATTACCCAAAGTCTTTGACCATTGGTCACTAGTATTGAGTTTATGTTAATCAGAAAGTCAGCGCTTTCTAACATATCTCAGACTATTAGTGAATAATTTCATTAACTGTTGCTACATCTTAATCTACTCCTTCTAGTCTAGTCGTATATCAGTTAAGGTTATACGGTTAGCTGGGCATATTTGATTATGCTGTTCGGAGAGACTTTAATTTATAGATGAACCAATCAGATTCACGATAACATGTCTTGGATTTCGGCGCCAAATTCACCTATTGATTTGGTAAAATACCATTTTGACATTATAGCTGATGTCAGTTCATGATGAAAACCTTAAATCTAATTCCTAACCTTAACTATCAACTGTAAATCATAATTGTAATACCTCACACAGGTTTATAACTTACATTTAGTCCTAGTATGTAGGTGGACATTCTGAAGGTCACTTTAGCGTCGTTTAAAGATAATCCATGAATTATAGTTTCATCATATTGTTCTTTTCTGAAACAACACCAGGTGAATAGACAGTAGAATTTTGGCAACAAGATTACTTTAAACAATTGGGTTAATTTCACAGTTTTTATTTCACTATATGATCTGAATAGTTATCATTCTAAATGATCAACTATATGGGTCTCTTACTTACTTACTTACTTACTTATTTACGTCTGTTACTCCCAATGGAGCGTAGGCCGCCTGTAGCTCCTCTAGGGGCTACTGCCGATCCTAAACCCGGGTAAAGGAAGACGGTTGGGCATGCGGTTAACAACCCAATCTCGTAGAAAACCAACTCGCTAAACAAAACGCTAACCAGAAAAATTATTATGGGTCTTAGTAACCTATTATTCAATCAGAAGTTCCAACTACTTCTTTCTCCTGAAACAAAGTTCTTTATTATTATTTTTATTCTTTATAAAGCCATCAGCTGGCGCATCAAGAGTTGATTTACTATCAGTCGATAATCGTCAAGGTAGTCTACCACATTTAGCTTATTCAATACATAATACAGGAATAAGTGAACGTGAACAAAAATTACAAAATGAATTATTAAATACACAACGTGAATTACAACAATTAAAACGATCAAGAAGTTTAACTGGTGAACAAAATTTAACACATTCAACAACATTAAAACAAACATTAAAATCAGGTTCAAGTCAATATTTAAATGATGGATTTTGGACAACATATAGTTTGAAAAAGTAAGTTATTTATAGATTTATTATTACATAACAGATCATAAAGTATGGGCCCGGCCGGGATTCAAAACTGGGACCACTCGCATCCAAAGCGAGTATCATACTCTTAGACCACTATGTCAACGTGGTATGGCAACTTGGACCGATATATATATGTCACAATTGATTGATCACTGGGTGGTGATCAATGTTATGCTTGTCAATTGCTTCTTAGTGCTGATCGAATGCTATCGATCAAGTTGCAATGTGGCTACCAGTCTAGGTGGCTCGACACTGCGTGCACTATGTTGAGGTAAGATGGTGCTTAGAGATGGTCAACATGAATCCCTGGACCCGAGTTTCGTGCTACTTGGCACTCGTCAGTAAGGTGTACCTGTAATCTTGAGGGAACTGGTGCTCTCTGACGGATATATAATATCACCAATCGAATGTGAAACACCTGGAGGCAGAAGGTTAAGAAGATCGAAGAGAAAAGAACAAGAGCGGATAGTTAATGGTGTGAAAACGAAGGAATAGCCAAGTTTAAAACATAAGGGGTTTTGTGGAGATTTAGTATTTTTCATAGTTGAAAGCGTGAGTCAATTGAAGCTAGGCCACCAAGGAAAACCTAGAAACAGTGGACGGCCGTTTCGTTCTATTATGGGACTCCTCGGCAGTGCGCATCCACGCTTTCAACTATGAAAAAAAGTTTAAAACAGTTGATTGAAATTTTGCAAATGAAGTGTTTGCTGTATGGTTCTCAGATTTTACTAAGTAATTTTATAGTTTTATCCTCATTTGTGAGTTTTCGTCTATTACACCTCTACTAGCATGAATCCAAAGTCTAAGGTATCTTAACAACTGATTTACACTGTGAAACTACGATTTTTATGCAAGTACTGGTAGAAATATTTGGATTGTAGACAATTTAAATACACACAAGAAATGAAGAATGGGAAGAATTCTTCAACATCGTAGATTTCTCTAAAGATATAAATTGTTATGGAAGGATGTGATCTTCTCAGTGTTTTACACAAGTACCATATTCGATATACTATATCAGAGATATTGCTAATAATCTATGTTGGGATGAGATGATGATTGGAGGTAGTGAGTAGAAAATTTTGGACCTAGGTTTCGTGCTACTTGTGACTCGTTAGCAAGATGTACCTGTAATCTTGAGGGAACTGATGCTCCCTGACAGATTCGATCCCGTGTCATCCAGCTTCACATTCGATAGGATTCGGTTAGTTGTTGTTTTCTAATATGCCAATTATATTTCAACGTTTTCTCTTAATAATTATTGTATTAATCCGACAGTAATCGATCGTGTGAATGTACTTCTTTTCCATGTCTCTTTGTTTATAATTTCGGCATCAAATTAATTTCTAGTATTCAATGTTTTTGACTGAGATCATGAATCGATCCATGTTAGACCACCATTAAAAACCTGGAATGACTGGATGGCGGTTTCGTCTTAATATAGGACACCTCAACAGTACGCAACCACGACCCTGAACACAGGACTCGAACCAAGTATCTCCAATCTCTCCCTCGAACTCTCAACTTCTAGGTCACTGATTCGGTATCCAACAGTGTTAATGTCTAATTTCAACCAATGGACTAACATCGATCGATTCATGGTCTCAATTGAATGCTTAACAATAACCACAACTCTATACTAATAACTCAATGTATTTTTTTCTTTATTTTATTCAATCATTATCCAAATAAAAGGAATGAAGGTCAACCATGTGGAGCACGTATTGCAGGTAAGTTATCATATAGAATTATGAAAGTGACTGCCTCGAATTATCTGAACAACATTTGGAATAAGAATTTCAAAGCCAACAAATAATAAGAACAGAATCTGATCTAACACACAGTTCACAGAATATAGACAGAGAGCTGATAGACAGTAAACATAGCATGATTTGTTTATGATGACCTTGATTTAGCATGTTGCATTTTGTAATGTCAAGGTCAATAACTATCCACTGTTTTCTCTTTTTGTTGTTGTTATTGTTTTTGGTTCTGAAATATTTTCATTTGTGCATAATTTATCATGATGAATCTGTGTATGGGTATGTGTGTGTGTGTGTGCATGTAATAACTATGGCAATATTCAAGATGTTTACGTTCAAAAAAAAGGGTATGTTCTGTCTCTCTCTCTCTTTCTCTTTCACTATTTTCTTTATTTCTTCGAGCCAAATGGTATTATAGTAGGTCAGTATTTCATTTGGATAAACTTGTACAAAGTCAGTAATATTCTTGGTATTTGATATGGATACAATGTACAATGAAAACAGTAAGTGTTATTACGTTTTTGTAATACATAATTGAGGTATGTTTGTGTGTGTGTGTATGAGTGTATGTACATATGTGTATGTGTAGGGGTACGTATGGATACGTGGGTGTTATGGTTTTCTATGTCATTGTATTGATGTAATTAAGGGGCCAGAATTAACTAAATAACCGAAATCAATTTAATGGAATGTGATCTTCAAGTTTAAAGAAAAAAATTTCATTCTTTTCATTATCACATATCATTGCCAACAAATCTATTTCTTTTTAAATACCATCTAAATGACAATAAAAAGTAAAAGTTTTTATCAGAAAAAATCGCGAGACTGATAGGTCGTGAATTCGAATCTTGGGGGTGAGGTGGGATCGTAAATGAGCACTGCTGAGGAGTCCCATAATTGGACGAAATAGCCATCCAGTGCTTTTAGGTTTTTCATGGTGTTCTAGCTTTATTTGACTCATGAATTCAATTATAATATTCCAATTTTTTGTTATTTTGAACTTTTCTCATCAATGAATAATGAATCTGATCTATTGATTTGTATGAAGTATGTTGTTAATAGGGATTTGTGCAGATGCTAGAAGTTTCATAGATAAGATCATAAAGTAATGTTTGCTAGACCACAATTAAAAAGCCTAAAGCCCTGGATAGCTGTTTCGTCCTAATGTTCACATTCACAACCTCACCACAGGGATTCGAACCCAGGACCTTCGGTTTCTTGTGATCATTGATGTCAAATAATCTTTAATTAGAGTAAATAACTAATGGAAGTTTTTGATATCTCCTGACAGTATGGAACTATCAATTCACACAAGATTTGACTTTTGACCTTCAATCAAAATATACTTTATCGTATTTCCATTTCTGATCTCCTTAATTCCTAATAGTGAGTTTTATTTATGACGTGGAAAACATCCACCGTTAAACATACAGAACATTGGATCCCGATTCAGTGATCCGGTTGTTAAAGTATAGAGAGGAAGACTAAAGGTCCTGGGTTCGACTTCCTGTATTAGGGTCATGGATGTGTACGAAAACCGTCATCCAGTGCTTCTAGGCTTTCATTTTTGATTTAACAAAGATAACTTCATAATCTAAACTATGAAAATTAAATTAACTGCTGAAATAACTTTGATAATCATACCTAATATAAGAGTCTCTAAAACTGAGAAAAATATAGACTACATCGTTTATGATTCTCCCAATTTACAACTTCTTTCTGTTTACTTCAGTTCAATCTTCTCAACTTTCTTTTGACAGGCATTCCACTTATGGTCGGTGTTACATGCTACTTACATCTGTCGATATAAGTAGCATGCACCACATAACCACTACGGCAACCTAGGATGGGGCTTGGGATATTTACTTTTTGTGGTAAGTATTCTACCATTCAATCATTCAGTTACCTATTAATTGATTCCTTGACAAAACAGTACACAAACATCGTAATAATATTGACTCTATAAATCATAACTTATGAATGAAACTTTAAGAAAGTCTGATTTGTTGGGTATTAAACCAAACGTTAATCAGTGTTATGTCTATTCTGAAGCACAAAACATAATAGACCCGAATAAATGTACCATCGCAACTAGTATGTACTACTGATATATCTCAAACGATAATAAAGTAACTGTGTACTGTTTGCCTAACTCATGTAATAATCAATATATTAATGTAATCATTTATATAGATTATATTATTCCTAAAACTAAGGTTCTTGATTTGATTCCTGGTTGAAGGTTCGTGGACATGGATTACTGAAGAGTCTTATATTAGGATAAAAACGGTTATAGTTCGTTCTTAGGTATCATATTAGTTGTCTAACTTAAATCCGTTTGTGATATTAGTAAAATGGAATAATCTCTACAATCTTATATTGGTGATCAGAACTGTTGCTAAATAGATTTTATTATATGATACTGGGTTCTAATCTCATACGTAATATCATTTTGGCTCTATGCTCTATGCCAAGACTATTACATCATCCATACATAGATATATCTATATATCTGAATCATCATATTAACAAAGTAATTGACAATATATAATGAAATGGAATTTATCATGTCACATGGTATCTTATTCATAGAAACGTATACATGTTAGGTAGATATAATTCTATTGTGACTAGATAATGCGATATGTAGTAAACTTATTCCCTTTTTTAATAGTGACGGTATATTCATGATTGAAGGCATGAGTGAATTGAAGCTAGACCACCAAGGAAAACCTGGAAGCATTGGATAGTTGTTTTATCCTAGTGTGGGACTCCTTAGTAGTGCGCATCCACGATCTCGCTTCACGAGATTTGAACTCAGGACCAGCCAGTCTCATGCCAGAGCACTTAACTGATAGACCACTGAGCCAGCATTCGATGGTGTTAATGTCTAACTTCAACCAATCCAGGAAGTTGAACAACCGTTCACCAATTGTCTTCAATGAGTTCCTATCTCATAGTGACGGTATAGTTATATGATGTTTTAATGTAAAGAATCGCAAATATTTTAGTAGGATACCTTTCATAGGATATGAATATCAATCAACATCATCGAAAACTATTTCAATAATGCATCTCATTGAATAAGCGATATTAGGATTTTGCTCTAGTGAATTTGTTAAGAAATGAATCCTGTAAGAAAACTTATCCTTCATTATCTAACTACCGATCTATCGATCTATCTACTCGAAGTTTGTGCTGATGATTTTTTTCAGAAGATCGATGAAAGCTCCATCAACAAACCATCCAGCTAAAAGAACAAAACTCCTTCAAAATCTATCTATCTATCCACTCGAAGTTTGTGCTGATGATTTCCTTCAGAAGATCAATGAAAGCTCCATCACCAAATCATCCATCTCAGAGAACAAAACTCCATCAAAATCTATCTATCTACATATATACCTTTAAATACCCCCCCCCCTGTCCATTCAATCAATAAATCAAAGATTCATTTGCATTTTTTGTTGTTAACTCATGTATTATTCACAAAACAAAAAATCTGGCAGTGAATTTAATCAATTCTTTTACATGTATACCTATACATTAGCAACTATCATTGTTACTAAGCCGAAAGTTTAAAATCTTACAAACACATTGTGTTTATTCATATAAAGTAGTTGGATCGATTTGTCAATCAATGAATTGATTAAATTTAAGATTTATGTGTATAAAAATTTGTTACATAATCAACTTAATGGAAATGAGCATGGTTTATTTAATATTAGATAACATACAATTGAATATTGAATATATATAAAGCGGATTCATCTATAAGGTTCAATTGAAAGATAAACAACCTCCCCCCCTCCGGAAACATTGTAGCATCCAGTCGTATTGGTAATCATTTATGGGTACCATTCGGTTTATCGCTTACATTAGCTGATGAGACTGAATCTCACTATTCAGGAGTCACGATGAAGATGGGTAAGTCGGGTTTTATTTCCGTGACGTATTTCATTATGGGTTCCGGTTTTTTTTATTGGCCAACTGTATTCATGAGAATAGTACATTGATAAAACTGTAATGAGTTCTTTGTTGTTATTTGTTTTTGTTTATTTATTTAAGATTGAAACAGTTTAACAATGTGAATGAACCTGTTAATAAATAGCAGGATATTGTACAACTATTCTACTGAAATCCAATGATTTACGTGATTATAACCGCCTAGTGGATATCAGCTAGTTTTAATTCATTATTTAAAGATAGTCATTGAACTGTACTGAGATTTGAAAAAGAGAATCAATATCAAAAAGATGGTAAGTACTTTGTACATAAATGAACATTAGAATCTTAAATACGATGTGTTGACATTTATTTTTGAGAATACTTTACATCTGTGGTAGGTTTAAGTCTGGCGAAATCGGAACTGAGATTTATAAAGCTCTGATGACGTTTACAAACTTACATCACTTATGTAGTAGACCAGATGTTTGTTTGTTAACCAAGCGGTGAGCATGTTGCATAATGATTCATTGTGTTCTACTTTATGTATGGGAAGTATGATCATTACGAACGGAGGATGTCTTCCATGAATTGGTTGACCGAGTGAGTATGACTGAGGTTAGATCCATTGTATTATGTGAAGATGGAAAACCAATAGATGAGATAGTAAATCCCTATCAATTGAATTGGTTAGTTACAATTGATTTATTGTTCAATATGGCGGTTTCATGTAAGTCGTATACTGTGTGTGGAGTTACGTTTTAGGATGAAGAAGTAGGTGGTGTTAACACTTGCTAACGGTAGATTCTCTTTTCACTTGTGTCACTAGTGTCACTAGTGTCTAGTTTCAGGATGCATATCTGGTTTAAGTGATTAATTAGCATATAAAACTGTATAGAACAAAACAATAAAACTCTGAAAGTTTAAAATATAACATTGTCCCCACAATTTAACGTACACATTTTTGAAAGGTTTCCAATTATAAAGATGCTTTACTAGTCAATCATAATGCTCACTAGTTTTTA